GCATGTCCCTGGAATAATAGTAGATGTTTTTTTTTTGTTACTTACCTACATGGTTTGTTGAAGTGAAATGATTTACATTTGTATTCGTTTTTTCACTGTTTTCGTTGCTTGTTCGTTATTCCCAGTATTTTTTTAAATTATAATTAAAAGCAGTTCTTTTCAGAACCCCAGATTTAGAGAACACGCTAAGGTATGTTTAAAAACAATCATTTTTTGTTTGTTGTTCCTGAGCTGTTTTAGGTTAATGGAATCAAATATACCAATTTGAATAAAGCCAAATTATTTTGTCTAAAGCAAATAGTGTATATTTTTGGTGTTAAAACGACACCTACAATGGGATGAAACAGGGTGTTAAACTTTTTATGGAAAAAAAAACTCTGTCTGTAAACCTCTGAAAGAGGGTTCTTTAAAAATAAAATTTTAGCTATCTTAACCTCACTTTTTTTAGTGACAAATTTAGTTCCTTAATATGTAAAGCCTTTGTCACATTTAAAGCGCGGTTTACACATCATGGCCTACTGTTATGCCAATTTCAATGAAATGGATTATAGTTATAATTTAGAATACAACTTCTTTGTTTCCTCTTCTAATAGCCGACAACAAAAAAATCATATTGAAACATCTAAATATTATTTTTCCCTATAGGGTGTTTCAAAACTCGCACCCCAGAAAAAACATTCAAGTAAGATAAGATACCAGGAACATAGCAAATATGTTTAATTAATTAATTAAATTAATTTTTTGACATTTGATATTTTTTATGTCTATTTAATGTTGGGTACTGATAAATTTTTTATGTTTTTTCATAATTATTTAGTGAAAGTAGAAAAATTTTGCCAATAAAAGCCATAAATAACGTAAAACATAATTACAATTTAGCTTCTTTGTTTTCGCCTGTAGCAGAAAAACATGGAAAATTATTTTTCCAACAGAAATAAAAAGGGTCACCTCCATAATTTCCTTTATCTTACTTGGCATTTTTCTCTGAGGCGCGAGTTTTGAAACAACCGGTATATATTTAAACAAAGAACGCTAAAATAAACCCTGTTTGTCATTACAAATGAAACATTTTTCATTAGTCTTTCCTCTTGACATGTAATTTGTTGAAATCGATTAATAGCAACGAATTCACAGCTTGGCATTCATTTTCCGGATACGCTGTATATTACTTTGTATTTTGTTCTAAATTTAAATTAATTAAATTTTCTGGCACAATTTTGGTTAAAGAAATTTAAAAACGTTTTAGGAATTACGATTCGGTGTCAAAATAATTTCAAGTTAATAATGACAGCAGTGTTCCCAGATTTGATTGATTTTTTGAATTACCTGAGTAATTGTAAAATTCCCAATGTACCACTTCACTGATGCATTTTACTATAAGTGTTGACGGCTGATAACATTTTTATCATAAAACGAACAAATAAATTTTTCCAAAAACTCAATTTTCATTTAAAATATGAGTTGTTAATTAAACTGGTAGGACTACAAATTTTATATTTATGAGTAAAATTAAATAAAATAAATATAATTTTTCCAAATTTTATAATTCATTTTTAAACATTTTTGATGATGATAAACAAAACAAATAAGAACTGTCAACCTGACACAAATAAAATGTTTATACACCTATCACTTTGATAAAAACTTAAACAGAATTTTCCGCGCTATTTGTTAATTTTAACTTTTTTGTCTTTTGTGATTTCAAAAAAAGACGGTATTTCTATTAAAACAAACACGATAACCGACGTCATTGTAGTTTGTAATCCATGTAATCCAAGACTGTTATGGAATACTTCCATCCGATCTCCAATATTAATTTTCATTTTTATTTATTTACAGAATCAAGTGACCATTTCGGTGGTACCCCTGATTTTCTCAGTTGGCGCCCTTGTCTCGCAGCCACCTTAGACGAAAAATTTAACACTTTGATTGGATCCACGACTACCTGCGATCAAGCGGCAAACTCGTCTGTCAACAAAAAATTGTCCGTTGAGAAACAATGCGCACGTCAGAAATAGTGTACGAGCCGAGTCGACGAATATAAATCAAAAAAAAAAAACTTCGTGGGGGAAAAAAGAGAGAAAGATGCTCGAAAAACCGGAATCTTCTTTATAGCACTTGTACCATGGTAACTCGATACAGGTAGGTCCGTTGGCGGTGAAATATTGCAGATGGGACTTTTACGACTTTTAACAATAGAGACGTTGCTTTGACGGTGGATTGACTGCGCTAAAAAGGCGAGAGAGGAGGGGAGGCGAGGGGTAAGTGGCTCGTTTATTACTCACCCTAGGTCGGTAATGAATTAAAAAATGTGTATTTATGATAAAAGTGAAGGCTATTAAACTGCATAGAGACGAAATTATAGTCTCGGCTGTCGCCTCGGCAACTAAACCATTGTAATTTCTTATCAAGGATATGTAAAATTTATTAAATCCTTCATTAATTTAATTTGTCTAAAATCCAGAATTTTTAGCATTGAATCCGGGCGTGCCAAAAATTGAAATTTTAAGAATTTCTAAATAAAAATATTTCAAAAACAAAATCTGAAACTTTTACAAACCGGAACTGTTTCAGACTTTTATTTTATTTCATATAAAAACAGTAATTGTTATTTTTAAATCAAAATTTGTAAATTTTTCAAAATAAAAACAAAAAAAATAAAGAATTGAATTTATTGATAATTATATTATGTGTCTGTTCTTGTTAGGTGGTAGTAAAAGATCAATAAAAATAATTTGCTTTGAATGTTGACCATGAAAGTTTTTATGCACAAAAAAAGGGTAACTTTGGGCACAAAAAAATATCAGGTATTTACATGTTCAGTTCAGTCAGTTATAAACGCGCTTTCGGGGGAAATCAAATTGTAAATCAAGTCATTATGGCCAACTATTCAAACGCTGAATTGACTAGTGTGTTTTTGTTTACGTCCTATAGTTTTTTCTTACGAATGAATGAAAATATTGTATTAAGACATAGACGGAGACGGGTTTTTAATCTCAAGTTATTTTTTATTTTAACTCAGAAATGACGTGCTTTCAGCAAAAGTTGGAATTAGAAAAGTTGTTTCTCTTGAGGAGTTCTATTAGTGGTTAGAATATTTGCTCGTAATCCGAGAACACCCTGTATTACATTCTATTATTGTTCTAAGGCCAGAATTTACATTGAAAAACATCTTTAGTGGCCCTTTTCCAAACCTATCGAACTTCGGTCTTCGTTTATGTTTTTTTAAAATAACATTATCTTCGATATCACTAATTTCAATGTCAATTTTCAATTAAAAATTTCGATCAAACCTTGATCGGTTTCGAGTGTTATATGTCGCAATTTCAAGTTTAAAAAATCTGCATTCTATATGTTTCTTTCAGTCAAAATTGAAACCAAAAAATTTACAAGACTCGATACTTTATCCTTAAATGGAATCAATTAATTCATTATATCTCAATTAAGAACAGTGAAACTGGATCGAAGTGATTAATAATTTACGTTCTCTAAGATGATAACTTGTAGCAAATCAGACCTAGTTTTTCATAAAGGATTAAAAAAAACCTATATGATTTATATAATCCATTTCATTTAAATTGGCATAACAGTAGGCCATGATTGTGTAAACTGCGCTTTAAATGTGAAAAAGGCTTTACATATTAAGGAACTAAATTTGTCACTAAAAAAAGTGAGGTTAAGATAGTTAAAATTTTATTTTTAAAGAACCCTATTTCAAAGGTTTTCAGAGAGAGTTTTTCTCCATAAAAAGTATCATCCCTTTGTAGGTGTAGTTTTGACACAAAAACATATACTAATTGCTTTGGAGAAAATATAGACTTTCGTTGATAACAAGTGGCTTCCTGAAATTTTAAAATACGTTTCATTCACACCGGAGATGAAACACAATTTGTTTTCCGTGAAAGTTGCAGCCAAAAGGGGTTTGGATTTTTTCATTAAAAATGTAGGACAAAATTGTGAATTTTTAAACAATGGTAAAGTTGTTGCGATCGTAGTGGAAATCTGTACAAAATGAAGCCTCGCGTACTGAAGCTTGAAAAATCGTGTTTTGTCGTGGATAAAGTAATTTGGCTAAACTCAAATTGGTATATTTGATTCCATTAACCTAAAATGCCTAAAACAGGAACAACAAAAAGAAATTGATTATGTTTTCAAACATACCTTAGCCTGTACTTTAAATCTGGTGTTCTGAAGAGAACTACTTTTGATTATAATTTGAAAAAATACTGGGAATAACGAACAAGCAACGAAAACAGTGAAAAAATGAATACAAATGTCAATCCTGTCAGTTCAATAAACCATGTAGGTAAGTAATCAAAGAAAAACAAAAACCCCATCAGCTATTATATCAGGGACATGCGCAGGGCTACAAACTTAAATACGAAATTCCATAGCCACCTATTATGCCAATTTCAATGAAATCTACTTTACTTGTTTTCATATTAATGTGCATCGAAGTAGTCGTTGGATAGGATCATTTTAAGGCAAAAATTCAAACAATCCTAACCTCAATCTTCCCTAAAAATGATTTTTTTAAATAAATGTGTACCCCAGGTAACAAAAGATAATTAAAATTAACAAGGTAATTAACATAGGGTAGCAAACATAAAGATTTTTGTCATTATTGATGTGATTAAATTTGTTCTGAATGACATTAATGACACTTTTTGTGTAAGTTGGCCTTTAAATTAAAGATGCATTTAGACTTCTACAACCTTGATGCACATTAATATAAAAAAGAGTAAACCGTGTTAGCTGTGTAAAATTATGACAACAAGTTGCGTCGCCATCTATCATCAATCATTATGAATCGAATTTTATGTAAAAAATGTTGAAACAATATTATTATTATAAGTTTCATAAGCGTTGCATATTTGCAATTGCATGAATAAAACCAGTTCAGCAGGTTTTTCTTTGTGTCACTCGATACTCTTATTAACTTATCAAAGAAATACATTGTGGAGTGATAAATGCATTGTTTCAAAGGTTCCAATTTCTGATTAAAATTTTATTTTAATTAATCACCATTTATTAACTGACATAAATACATTTGAAACTTATATAAAAATAAAAATCGTTTTTTTTTTTGCACATTTACATCCTAATTTGGAATCGTCCCGCTTTCGTTATGTATTTCACCCCCTTAAAAGGCTTATACTTCTCTCCATACATGTCGAGCCTATTAACTTTTAATCCACTCACTGCGAGTTGATTTATGGTGAAATGCACATTTATGGACGGATTTATCTCCGTAGTGTTGGCTCCACTAGCGATCGACACCTGCAAAACCCCATGACACTCCTGCCAACCTCACTAAACCAACTCACACTTCCCCTAATATTCGGCAATTTGGTGACATCAATCCTGCCAATATCCCAGTGCAAAATTTTTGAAACTGGATCAAAATTGTATTTCCCCTGATTGGCAGTGAGGACACAATTGAGGATAGATTTGGGCATCAGAACCTCGATTTTGACCCCTTCGACCGTCCTACCGAGGGTCTGCTTGGGGCCCACGGTCAAGTCCAGACGCCCCTGCTCTCCCGATTTGATCGACAAGTTGTGTCTGACATAAATGGGGATTGCGACGACACTCTGACTGCTTATGTGGTAGGAAATGAGGCGGAAATTGCCATCGGGGGGGATGAAGGATAAGACACGCTCGGCCTCCCAGCGTTTGAAGCGAACACAGGGGTGGAAACTAACGTCATCAAAGAGGCGTGGGTTCATGAAGGAGAGAGTCAAGTCGGGCATACCACTCAGTTTTATGCAACAATCGATCTACGAATTATTTATGGGGGCCAACGTTGGATACAATTTTTTTGACTTACATAACCTTGAATTTCGGCGAAAACCGTGGAGCCTGATTTGTCGATTATAGCATCGACTTCTTCAATTACATCAAAGTAGGCTTCGTTGTTGGTATATTTGACCCCTGTACGGCGCCATGGGATATTTGAGAGCTGTCCAGTTGGCAGCACTTCACTCACACTTAAAAATTTGAGTTAGATGAAAAGTAGTTGGTAGGACTGTACCGACTTAGTTTTTCCCGTGACAGTGTTGGCAATTGTTCGTAGAATATTAGGCGGCTTGATTAATTCTTTCAATATGTTGCTTTCGGTCGCTAGAGGGAATCCATTGTCGAGCATTTCATCTAGTAATTCGTAAATTACGACGTAATTCTCTTTAATTATCGATTCGGTGCAGTCGGAGAAGTAATCCTAGAAGGATTTGAGTAACTGAAGAGGACTACCGGTGCTAACTTACTTGAAACATGTCAACAACCCTGTGTAAAAATTCAATCACGAATAAAGGGGGAATTTCCTCCATACATACGGCAACGAAACTAACACCGCTTCGTTGGATTGAGATCAAGTAGTGATGGGGGGTTGCTATCACAGGGGCTATGTCATTGGGGTTTGCCCTTTGGGCCTCTAGGTAATAATCACAAACCGAGCGTGAAATAACACTACGCCAGTGCTTTTCGAGAAAAACGTCACTAAAAAATGGGCCATTTGAGTTGAATAGTCTAGAAAAATAGCCACTTACCCTGACGAGTTTATAATAAACAAACTGTGAATCATTTTGGGTTTTTTGAGGTTAGGGTCAAAAAACTCAGCTGACAATTGACAAGTCAAGTGCGCAAACGCAATTTTTTTTAATAATTGATTGTTTTATGAATTATTATGCTAGAATTGTAAGTATTTTCGGATTTTTTCCAGCTCAAACTCCCGATGCTTAACAATTTGTAATATAAAGCGTGTAAAAAAAATATTTAACCATTTTCGCTCATATGCATATTGTACCAAATGAACAATCTAATGGGACATAAGAAATGTTATTTACTGGTTGTTTAAAAATAATTTTTTATTTTCGATTTACTTTATATTTGTAGTACTCCAGTTATAACATTATTAAATGTGCTGCAGATAAAAAATACCTAATCATAAGTAATAATTTTGCGCTCATGTGCACATTGCTCCGCATGATTTGACAATTGTGGTTTGCGAAAGTGTCAAACCAATTGTTATTTAATCATGTCGTCACTAATTAAATCGGCTAAATTGGCCCACCTTTGTTTGAAACACACCCCTGTGGCTTTAACCGCCACCCGCAACCGTACGTATTATCTCCACACCCATTTTTGAACTGTTATGTAACCTAACCTCAACAGATTGGAACAAGGACTACAAGCCAGGCCCATACCCCCGAACCGAGCAGGAGCGTCTCCGCGCAGCCGAACGCTACGGCTTGCACCCCTCCGAGTACGAACCCTACCCCGACGACGGCTATGGCTACGGAGACTACCCTAAATTGCCCGACATCAGTGGCGACGCGAAGGACCCCTACTACCCCTACGACAACCCCGAACTCAAGCGCAACTTTAATGAACCTGTACGTGAGTACTCTCAAATTAACTCTAATTTAATTGGTTGTTTCAGTTGCATGCTGAGTTTGATTTAATGAGAGAGGACAGATACAATGTGAGTGCTAGATTGAGGTACCCTTTGTGGTTCCAATGGGTGCAGTTTTTGGGGGTCATGTTGGGTAGTTTCGGGATTTACTGCCTGTTTGAGCAGGTGAAGATGTTCCACCCGGTGGTGCCAAGGCAGTACCCCAAAGACGGGCCCCACTACACCTTCGAACCCAAGTGAAATGTGTGTGAAATAAATAGTTGAAATTAAAAATAATACTGTAATAAAAATAAACAATATATTACAAATAAGTGAATACAGATATGTACAACAAAACTTACAAAATTAATTTAGAGGGGGGGCTAAGTGGGACTGGGAATAATACTATACATTAGACTAGGTACAAATTACTGTCATTGTACTGAAAAAAAGCGCCAAGTCTTCAACAATCACAAATCAATTGTTTCTAAATTATAACCTCGTTGGTCCCATCGTTTCAATTTTGACTAGAACTTAATTTGGTCGTCCCGGATTTGGCCTATCTGGTATTCTTGGAGGTATGTTTGGAACTGGCCGACTGAAAGAAACACAAAGTCAAGACTCGACTTTCAAAATCCTTAAACCTCTAACAAAAATTTTCACTTACCTTGAAAAAATCAGTATGTCACTCGTGCGATAGAGGTTTAAGGAAAAAAGTGCATGAGGTTAGTATCAAGCAGAAACAAGCCCATCACCACAGGACAAAGGTTTTCAAATAAAAAACTCATGTATTACTTCTATATTTACACATTCAGAATAACTACAACGTGCTCGAGTGCACAATTATTATAATTTCAAAACGTTAACATAGTTGGTTTTGTTACAAACGTTATGTACAACAACGACGAAAAAATCCCAACTTAAAGCTTTGCTAGAGCATCTCTGTATCTACAGAATATGACATTTATCTCGTTATATGCTTAGAATATATAGTTCTATTAAATATTTAACAACAATTTGATCGTTTACAACAAGAATCAAGCTTTCCTCATCTGTAGGCTACCCTTGAAATATCTTACAAAAGAATATATTATTATCTCATAAAAATATCCAATCGTTCTGCATTGTACTGATATATCGCTTTGTAAGCAAAAACTCTTAACAACTACGTAACTATTGCGTAACATCACTACAAACAATGGAATGTGATATAAGAACGTCTTAATTGACTCCTCCTACAGACACCTAATTTCATTATTTGTCTTTGCTAACAAAAATAAGCGAAAATCTATGCATATTTCGAATTTCCCGCGCTCGAATTTAAAATTCCAATTACCGTCTTTTCAAAATATACAAAGATGGCGCCTTCTAATACTGTGCAAAACATATATGTCACGATTTGTGTTAGACACCGATTGATTTTCACTTGTTTTTATCATAAGCTGAAGCGAGTAATAGACATTGAGGTTATGTAAGATTGTACACACTACACGGAAGATCTTATTTTTGAATGTGCGTCTGCTCATGCACATCGACACTTGAAAAATCAGAATTTCGACCCACGAGTGTTTCTCAATGTGTAAAAAAAATCATGAGTTTCCATAAAAAAAGAGATAGAAAAAATCAAACAAAGTGTTAGTAGAGAGTAACTCTTGTATTATTTTTATTATTATTTTGTTTTATTAAGTATATGATAAGCGTGTTAAAAACGGAAAATTACTTATGGAACTTGAAGGCATTGGAGAGTTCGTTGATAGCAGCATTGGTAACAGCGCGTCCAACTGCCATCTGCACCTGAGGGGGCACTTGAACGCCCCCTTGCGGTCCTTGGCCCCCAATTCGACTGTTACAGAGACAACTCTTAGCCCCAAAAAAATTATCAAGTTTGGGCCAAATACAAGGCGTATTTTAGTACACCCTGTATATTGCATTATTGTGGGTTAAAAATGAAATTATCGACATCAACACCGGTGAAGCTTTAACATTTACGAATTTACACAAGACAATTCAATGTACAATAACATTTTTTACAAGATATATGACAAGACGTCGTACACTTTATATTTTTTCTACAAGCGAAAGCGTGACAAACATAGTACCCTATCTGTTACACAGTTCATTTCCACCTTTTCATCAAAATAAAAAAAATAAGCGGTGAAATCAACTGCGCTCTAGATTAAAACGTACGAAACGTGTGATGTCAACAATTGGTTAGTGATGATTATTTAACGCCTCCTGTAAACAAACCACAAGTTGAGGCCGACCTGTGGTCATCTTTTCACATATTCGGTTCGATTCGGTTTGGTTCAAATTACGGAGAACTACATACTAGGAGACGAAACGAGATACAAAATTCCTCGATTTTTTGGTACGGCGGAGTAAAAATGAGGGCGCTTAGAGCATTTTCCCCGTCTCAGTTTCAAATCGTTTTAAATTAATTTAAATTCAATCAGTGTACTAATTGCTTGGAAAAAAACGCAAAAATGTTGAGCTTTACATTCTTAATGTAAAGACTAAATTTTTCATGAGAAATATGAGAAAAAAATATTTAAAATTTAAAATCTGTGCTCCGTTTCATGTTTTTCAAAATGCTGCGTATACGGTTAAAGATATAAAAAAATGTAAGAAAGAAAGTTGTAGTGAATGAAATTTTCTAGTAAAAAGTCCGAAAGACCATACCTCTATCTTTAATGGTTTAGGCCTCAAAGACGTTCAAAACCGCTGAAGCGACGAATTCGTTTTATTTTTACTGGTAATTCTGTGCCAAATATTGACTTGCAGACTTTTTTGTAGCAAATTTTATTCTCTACAATTTTGTTTCTTACACTTTTGTTGTATCTTTAACCGTATTCGCAGGATTCTAAAAAATATTGGCCGGAACGCAAACTGATAATTGTTTATAATTTATTTTTAATACTGTTTTCGATATTTTTGAGAACACTGCGAATACGGTTGAAGATACAAAAAAAGTGTAGAGAACAAAGTTGTAGAGAATTAATTGTGCTATTCTGTAAAAAAAGTACTTGCTATAGCGCTATAACTCTTTAAACTATGGACTAAAAGTAAAAATCGAATTCTCTAAGGAAATATTTTTCTATACCTAAAATTCCATAAGCTTAAAGTCTCTATAAAATTATGGCGAGAAAATTGGTAACCGTAAAGACTTATACAGGGTGCGCCAGAACTCGCGCCCCAGAGAAAAATGTCATATAAGGTAAGATACCAGGAACACGGAAAAAATGTTAAAAAAATTTTATCTATAAAAATTTCGAATTTATGAAGGTTTAAAGTTTGCACTTTGCCTCTATTTATTTCTGTTGCAAACATAATTTTCCAAGTTTTTTGCTATTAAAAGAGGAAACAAGAAAGCTGTATCCTAAATTGTAACTCTGTTCAATGTTATTTGTGGCTTTTACTGGCAAAATTTTTGTACCTTTACTAAATAATTGTCAAAAAACATATACAAGATCATCAGTATCATTAAATAGACATAAAAAAATGTCAAATGTCAAAAAATAAATGTCAAAATTTTTTGACAGATAGAATTTTTTAAACATTTTTTTCATGTCCCTGGTATCTTACCTTACTTAAAAATTTTCTCTGGGGCGCGATTTCTGGCGCACCTGTATATTGTCATAGTAACAATGTGACAATGTCAATCCTCAATAATTTATTATAAATACTTCTCTCCAGTTTTCGCCAGTAATGCTAAATTTTGCACTAATTGCAATATATTTATTGTTAAATGAAGAAGAAAGAAGGTTGTGGACAAAAATGAGCTTCTTACTACAAAAACTTTAATACAAAAGTGTGTCTATTCAGAAAAAAAGTTATTTTCCAAAAAATACAAGCAGGTTTCATGAAAATCGGCAATAAATTTTGTTGAAATTTTTTAAAATGAACTCAAAGTTGATGCATTTTCGAAATTCTCCTTCGGCGTTAGTTTCAAAATTCTTACTTTTTCAACTCGTTCTTCAAACACAGTGCAAGCAGACCTACTAATTTAATTACGTTCTTCTTCTTTGATGTTTATGTTGTATTCTCATAAATTTCTTACTAAAAATTAGAGAATGTTTAGCAAACCTGCATTACAAATTGCGTCTAAATTTTAGAGGTGATCTTTTTCTGACTTCTGCTTGCACACTTTTCGTCTTCAAATTTCCAAAAACTGTTTGCGATACCCAATTTGTCCCCGTTCTGGTGTTTTTATTTCTAAATTTTTTAGACGATTTTTTTGCTAACGTTTAATGACATTTTTTTTATTAAATCAAAAAACCGAAACTGCCAACTTCCTTTATTAAAATTACCACAAATGAATTTATTATTAGGAACTGTTTGACATTTCCATTTAATAAAAAAAAACAGACTTTAGGGTGATTACAGCGCTATTACTCGAATGTTTACATAGACGCTTAGAGAATACCAATTTTGATACGATTCTATAAGGACTTTAAAAAAATTATATACAGAGCTCTATTAGCTATGGAATATACCAACTTATAAACTGTAGCAAATTTTTAGAGAATAGCCTAATAAATTACCTACAAAAAAGTCCTCTATCTTCAACCATTTAGGTTTAAATTAATTTTTTGTCTTTTGACCACGGGTAAAAATGACACCTATTCATCACTTGAGCGTCTTTAGAGACCTAAACCATTTAAGAGGTATCTCTCGCAGACTTTTTTCTTGAAAATTTAATTCTCTACAAATTTCTTCTTTATATTTTTTTTGTAGCTTTAACCGTATTCGCTGTATCATCAAAAATATGAGAAGGGGCGCAAATTGCTAAAAAATTTTAAATATTGTTTTCAATAAAATTTTTGCATTACCTTTAACTCTTATTATTGAGAATTTAATGCTCTATCTGTGTATAATTTTTTTATTTGCGTTTTGCTCACCGTTATGTAAATGCCATTTTTTCTTTATTTCATTGCTCTTAAAACTTAAACGGGAAAGGAACAACTGCGCTATCTGGCCTCATTAACGGAACTATCGTTTTGTTTTACATCGTGTCGTATCACTCGTATCCTAGTCTTGAGGTATCCGTAGTTGAAACCGTCACATGATACTTACGTGGGGACGAGCGGTGCCGGCAAGGCTTGTCCTTGGGGCCTGCCAGGGGGCATGGGAGGTGCTCCGCCTCCGGGGCGGTTGGGAATAGCGGGTGCCGGCCTACCGGAACTAGGGGGCGGCGGTGGAGCCCTCGAACCTAGCGAACCTATCAGAAATTTACAACTAAAATCGAACTACATCAACAGGGAGTGAGTGTACAGACCAGTGCTGCCAACTTGACCCATATTGGGAGCGGTCTTCCGAGGCCCGCCTGGACTCGGCGGTGACAAACGCGGATTTTCGAGTCCACTCGCCAGCCAATCGTTTTTCACAGGGGGCGGAACGGGGGTGGAGACGGTTGCCATCGAAACATCACCAATGATGTGCAATGCCTCCTTGCATGCGTGATACATACGAAGCATTTCTTCGCGTTTTTGGGCCTCTTCAGGGGCTTCTTCCATCATTTGTGACTAAATTTTTTTTTAATAAATTTTTGTAATTTAAATGTGTGAAATTCAAACCTGGTCGCCACTGGCATAAATGTGGGCTAAAAGTTCGCCATTTATGAAGTCTTTGGTGTGGTTTATAATCATGTACATTATTGTTTTCGGTACTAGATCTCGGGTCGTTTTTGTGACGATTCGCATGTAACTGTCAACCAAATTTCGAATTGTTTCGACTTGACGTTCGAGCTGGGGGTCCATGGAACTGCTCACGTTCTCGCCGCCGGCCTAAATTAATCATTTTCACAATTAAATCAGTTTTTTAATTACAAACAAACATAATTAGTTAATCAAATGATTAGTCTACGTATAAACTGTTAAAGAATCCTAATCTAAGAAGCAACCAATTGTTTTCTTATTATAAATTTTCAAACTGACTGATGCTTTTCAATTCTAAATGTTTTATTCCCCACTTGGTCAACGGTTCTCCAAATTATCGCCAAAGATTTTTTTGTTGAACGTTTTCTCCCTATATTTTAATAATTGGTGGTTATAATTCAAAACGATGAAGTTTATACACGAGCCAACGGCGAATGTATAAATCATCCGAGTGAATTATGGCCACTATATGCGAGTCAAATACGACGTTTTATTATTTTTTAATAAAACACTGTATTAACAAAATTTATAACTTTAATGACAGATCTGTGGTTTATGATAAGTCACTAGTAACTTATAATAAGCCACGGGTGTAACGTTGGCAATTAACATCACAATATTGAAAGATCTGTGATTTATGATAACTCACTCGTGACTTATAATAAGTTACGGTTGTGATTTATGAGTAGCACAATGTTCCTATAGTTACGTAAATAATAAATATATTATTTAATGATGGTAGACATAAAAACATTATTACACCAGTTTACTTACTAAGGTATCAACTTTCCGTGTATATTTCTGAGTATCAAATATACAGGGTTCTTCCAAAGTACAGAAACGCGTTTATCAAACTTACTAAAACTTTTTTTTTAAATACATAGAAATTTTCAACAAAACGCTAGATTGGATGTATTTTCACTTGGTATAAAACAAACTCTTGAATACTACAAGCATTTGATATAAATTGCTATTAATAATTTTTTATAAAAAAAAAATAAAAACGAAATCGTAAAAACGAGAACCAAAAAATACTGTAGTTTTTATTAGCTGGTTCAAATTTAGTGAATTTGTATTTGCACAGTTGGTAGAAAAAAAAATCCAAACACTACACTAACTACAACACAACAAGCACCAACTTTACGTCAAGAATCTCAAATTTTCACTAAATTTAACCGTTTTTTTCACATTTTTTTACCTGATAATTCTCCCCCTTGCGGCAGAAAAGCGTAACACACAAACACACTCAGGTTAGTCAAACATGCATAATACCCACAAGGTATAGTGTCAAAATCATGTTAGTGCACAAGTTAGTCGCACACTGCTATATACAGTGTGATCACGCAAAAAAAAACAAAAGGCAAAATCTGACCTCGATACTTGACTCCTGTTCCTGAAGTATAATAAATCAATTACTTATCTATACCTTGCAAATTACAAAAATAAGTAAAAAAAAAAACAAAAAATAAAATGTGTCTGTGTGTGTTTCCCCTTAATCACGGCCTACTACCATGCTCAAATCCCCCCCTAACCACTCACCTCTTCGCCGTTCACTTGTTCCGTTTGCTTTTCCGGGTAAACCCCCGCTCTTAAAAACGACGCTTTCCACGAATCGACTTCATCCAAAGTTTCACAACTCAATTCGAGTTGCTTGTAATCCTTTAAACACGTTTTAAAAAAAATCCATACATAAAATTAATAGTACCAACCTTGTAGACATTTCGTCCATCGGGATTAAACAACGCAAACATATGTCTGCGTGACATAAATCCCTGTTCTATATCTCTCAATTTCAAGCCATCCAATGGCAACATGTATTTCTTTTCGCGTTCTTCTTCATCCTTATACCAGGAGATATTCTCCGAAGTGAGAACGAACCAATAGTCACGTGATCCGCCTTTCATTATACCCAAATTGTGGATGCACATGTAGCCTTTTCGGATTACCTGATTACCCAAAGTGCCACGTGACCCGGTCTTGGAAGCGTTCTCTGACTGGTTTTGAGCACTAAAAATTCCAATATAAAAAGAGAAAAAAATTTTCGCCGAGGATTACTTAGCAAAACCGATAAAGTCCTCGTGATTCGTATTCATATAAGCCAGTTCGCAGTCGATAAGTAAGCACAACTGTTCTTTACAATATTGCTCTCTTTGTCTGATATGAGTTGTAATGATTCTCTCGGCTTCCTCTCTCAGTCGCGGATAGCGCGACATCTATCGATACGAAAGTCAATCAATGAAAAACTTTCAAGTATACTTACTTTATCAGTACACACGCGTACAACATTTGACAATTCGGTAACCACCAAATCGACACATTTTAATGACGGTTCTTTCAATCGAGCGATTTGTTTCTTGACGATGGCTTCAAAAGCCATATCAGGAGTGAAAAGCCCCACCTTAAAGATTAATTTGATTTTTGTTTCAAGTTATGTAAAAATCAAGACTCACTCTAATACCGTGAATATTACGGATTGCAAAAGCAATTTCTCGTCGCAATTCCTTCTCGTCGAATTCCATTTTGACGATTTCAAAAGGGAAACGTTCGTGGAACAATCGATTGATTTTTGCACCACCAGACAGTTCCATCGTGTTGATTTGTGCCGAACCGGAGCCCTCGATGGTGCGCTCGAAGTCGGTCTGGAGTTGCTGGATCATCCTAAAAACGTTTTAGTTGGAAATTTTAATTATTCTAAACATAAATTTAATTCGGGATTCAAGAAACCCATCAACTGAAGTATTTTTGTTTTAATTAAAAAATAATCGAAATATACATCATGAAATTCTAACTGTTTTATTATAAAAATAAAGAATAATGGATTCAGTTTAACACAAATGTGATTATCAAGTGATGTTTCTTCTATCTCTTGCGCAACTGTGCACTTTTTGGCTACTGAAACAATAGTAATTATTTTTTTTTAATGTTTAAGGTTTAATATCTTTTTAGTTATTGAACTTTTAACAAATGTCTCCATTTTTTATCTTTGCAAATGCAACACGCTAAAAAAATGTTACAACCTCATAGCTTGTACCTTCTTCTTTGCGCTAGTAAAAAAATATTTCTAAATGTCTTAGTTTTTGTGTAATAAATTTTGAATAGTGCATGTTTTTGTCAAAAAAAACGTGTTATTTTTAAAACTAAGCAAAATCGACCAATAAAAGTTTAAAAAAACAAAAAACATTGTCATAAAAATCTACATCCAAAAACGATAAGAAACCTATGGTGTTTCATTAAAAAAAACACAAGTTTGTATTGTAACTTATTTTTGAGACACGGTGTATAGTTGAAAATAGTATCTATTAATGTCCTATATATTTTTCTTTTAATTTTACCATTTAAAGGTCACTAATGGATTTTTCAACTCGCTGTGACTCGCTGTATAATTTTCAACTCGATATTTTTTCCAAACTAACTTTTTGACAAATCTTTAATTCTTGCCTAATACACTCGTAATTATTCCATTATTTAAAAAAATAAAAATAAAAAACAAATAGAAGATACAGGGTGTTTCAAAAATCTCGGACCATCTTTTGTGTAGTGATAAAATACATCCAACTGACTTAAATGCTCCCATGGCATAAAATTATTTAAGTTAAGTTTTTGGCCGTTTAGATCATGTATTCCTGAATTAGGTAGATCTTGCAACATTAAAAAAATGCCTCATCAAAAAATCACGAATTTCTGTGTTATGGTATATACTTTGTAAACTGATAGATTTTACTTTTTTGACATCTTGGTGAAAAATTCTATAACAAGAAAAGTACTGGAATCGCTATGCTAAAATTTGTAAATTGCGGTAAATTGAAACATGTTGGGTTGGTATCGCGATACGTCCGGATATTCCTACGCGGACAGTGTTTTGACAGAATTTTGATTCTTTTTAATTGTAAATGTTTTAAAATACAGAAAACTGTGCCATGGAGAATGCCATGAATAATGTTACCAACACACTCCACAACTACGCGGTAAGATGTGTGCAATTATACAAAATATTTTTAATGCTATTTTTGGAGGTTAGGATACATCGGCTAACATCCAAATTATTATTTTTTAGCAAGGAAATGAAATGGTTAATAAAGAAAAAAATAACTGTATGTATTTATTTTATTTGTTATATTCCATTAATATGTTTTTCAAGACATTCCTACTAAAATGTACTTTCTCGCAAAATTTCAAAGATACTACTTTCTGAGCGGAGGATGTCGGCAACCTACTAGTTACTTTTCTGTCACTAATCTATCATTAATATGGACTATACAAAACATTTAACAAACTAACAATAAATTAAATCCGACAACATCGGAAACAAAAGAGTTATGGTGCCTACATGATAATATGGAAATAGTCAGTTCCTTTTTTTCTCAGAAACCATAGCTTGAAAAAAATTTGCATTCATTTTTATGGTTAGCTGAAAATCTTTGATTACCATTCGAGAGTTGGTTGGACACTTTTGAATTACCCTGTATAATAAAACAACAATAACATAATCATCAAACGCTGTTTCATTATTGTTTACTTTAAAATTCAATTATTCTACCTTATTTAGTCATCACAGTATAGCTCTATTTTTAATTTTTTTTATGTAATTCGATCCTTATCTTTTAACTCTATATCCTCTTCTTTATTTATCTCAAGTTATTAGATTTGCGACTACATATCTCGTGACCTTTTCACCATTGATTTGGTAAATAATCATAATCACAAAGTAAATTTTCAAATCTTGTCTATCTTTGCATTTTTTTCATTAAAATTCTTAAATAACAAACAGTAAACAATTCTTTGAAAAAAATTTTTTTAATGTTTTTTATCACTTTCACTGAAAGAATATGTTCAAGGATAGTATTAAAATGTGGATAATCACAATCTAACCTTCCTATTGGACCCCATTGTTCACATGATCCCGAATTGAAAAAAAAAAAACAAAAAAAAATATCTTTGATTTTACCTCAAAACTGCAACGAGCAAATCTGTAATTGAATCGTCATTATCCTGACTCAATATACAAAAAAGTTCTTTTTTGGACGTTTTTCCGCTTTTTGGATCCCATCACATTGGCGGCTTTATTTTCTTGCCAAAGATTCACTTTAAAAACTAATTAGTTAATTAACTAATTAAAGTTCTTTTTAAAAATGACAGAGAAATTATTAAGTCCAAAATCAGTTTTAATTACAGATTTGCTCGTTTCAGATTAAGCAAAAAATGTTATTGCTTACGGTTTAGGCGAAAAGTCAAAGATTTTTTTGTGCCTTTGCAACTCAATCCGGAGACATACTTTATGAATTATGTATTTCATATGTTTTCTTCTTCTATTTCAGTAATTTTTTAGTTCTTTTTTCGTTTTGTTTATTTTATAATTTTTATTATTATTCCATTTTTGTTTTAAAGTTCTCCTTAAAAATAACAAAAATGAATTAAATAAACAAAAACGGTACAAATGCAACAATTTTTTTTTGTCTTACACTTGGCCTCTGACGTTGAGGCTTTTATTTTGTTGTATTATTATTGTAGTATTATTTTAAGCTTTAAGCTTTTTTTTCTACTTACTGTAACATCGCCTTGGTCTTGATCGCCGGATCGTCGGGCCTAAAATGCTTAAACTGCTCGACATCCTTCTCCAACGTTAACAATTGTTTCTGCAACTTGTCCCTCAACCCCGGTAACGTATCTCTTATATGATTGGTCAATTGCTGATTTAACACCCTTTGCAGATAGGGCGTCCCCAACCTATCAGCAAGATGCCTATACGAGGGATGAGATAAAAAGAACTGCCTTTCAGCCGCCATCGCCGCCTTAATATCCTTCCTTCCGTCGATATCCTTCTGCGACCGATTCACCACACCTATGTAGCCTCTTCTCAAAGGCAATAGCTTATTTTCTAGAACATCCCGAGCGTCGGTACCTTCATCCATCAAATCGAGTTTCGTGATAACACCAATAGTCCGAAGCCCTGATAAAAATCGTTAAAAAAATCGAATTTCCCACCAAATATCTACCTTGAGGATCGACCTCTTTGGCCAATTTGAGAGCATCCGAATTGGCCAAATCGGTGTTGGCAGGTGTTACAGCCAAGATGAGGCACGATTCGCGTTTGATAAACTGCATTATCATTCCTTTGATTTGCTGTTCGATGTCGAGGGGTTGGTCGCCAATGGGGACTTTGGTCAGACCCGGCAAATCAATCAAAGTTAAATTTAACACTGAAAAGTCCAAAATCGATTTTTTCGCTATTTGATTAACTAAGGGACTTGCCATGGGGTGAGTACACTCTCAAGTTGATGGGAATATTCGATATTCCTTTGTTGCTTCCGGTAACTCGATCCGTTTCCGATTCGATTTCGCGACGGACTTCGTCAAAATCGACGAATTTTTTGCCCTTACAATGGAGAAATTCGGCATATTCTGCAACAAAAAATTCGTTTATCATTTAATTAATCATTTCGGGTAAATTACTCGTCAGACATAAACAACATAAAATAGGATTTTTCGCTGAACGTATTTATTTTTGTAATTATGTGAACAAATTATTATTTTTAAATTTTTTCCTCTTCCGCATACATAACACACAAATTTCTGCTTCAAAACACCCAAGGTTCATTAGAAAACACTTTTCGTTTTTAATTTCATTTAAATAAACTTTCCAACTCTTACTTTTTCTTCGGAAACATTTGGTTTCTGTTACCGCTGATTCACATAGTCGGTGCGTCAGAATTTGTTAAAAATTCTATTTTACTGTTATTTAAGATGACACACATCCAACATTCCAAAACCACAAAGAACAGTTTCATTGTTTATACTCGAAAATTTAGCACGTGTTATCGCTCACGAAATCTTAAAAAATGTAATGGAAGGTTCGTATGTGCTTAAATTTTGATAATGTTATCGAATTAGTCACGAATATTCGATTTTTCATTACAAAAGCTCTGACCACACAACAAACTCCTTTTAAAATCGTTTAAAAATAAATCGTATTTTTATAAAACAAATCAAACAAACGGTCCAATGAACTAAAATGAGCTGGAACGTTTCAAACTCAACTTTTTGTGTTTACAAATTATTGATTCAACAGTGGAAAGAAAATATTTTAAATTGTTTAAAAAATGATAACAATCATTTTTAGGGCAAGTGGAATTCAAAGCAGTCATAAATCACATACTTTATTACCGCTTTGCAGCGAAAATAAACGAAAAACTTGGAGGAATTTGTTTGCACTGTTGAGAAGATATTTCCTTGATTCAAAATTTCAATTAAAAAACGTTAATTGTTTTCATGGCAAATAGGTAACCAAGTTAGTAATGATAAACAAAAGTCATTTGTCAATTACTTGATTAGTGGCATAGCCTAATGCCTTAAAAACATGTCATAAGTAAAAAACAATGAAAGATAAATTGAAGGCTATATCTATAATTTTAAAAAAATCGAAAAAATAGATCAAATAATAATATCCTATTATTACTACTTTTTACCGTTTTTGTCATTATGTTTTAATTTGAATATTAAAAATTCATTCATAAACTGACTAAATTTTTAGGGTTAAGCCCACCACGATTTACAATATTCAAATTGTTATTTTGACAGTTGTCAAAAGTCTAAATAATGACACAATTGTTTTCAAAATAGGCTATAAAAATAGTAGATTATATCATTAAGAATACAAGTGAGTCTTTTTGTGCTAAGGTCAGCAACTAAGCGAAGAACAAAAGACCTTCTATTCTAAATGATATATAGGTGAGCCAGAACTCGCGCCCCAGAGAAAAATGTCATATAAGGTAAGATACCAGCAACATGGAAAGAATGTTAAAAAAAATTATATCTATCAAAATTTCGAAGTTATGAGAGTTTAAATTTTGCACTTTAACTATTTATTTCTGTTGGAAAAATAATTTTCCAAGTTTTTTTGCTACAGGCTATTAGAAGTGGAAACAAGGAAGTTGTATTCTAAATTGTAACTCTGTTCAATGTTATTTGTGGCTTTTATTGGCAAAACTTTTATACCTTCACTAAATAATTGTAAAAAAACATACAAGATCATTAGTATCATTAAATAAACATAAAAATATGTCAAATGTCAAAATATAAATGTCAAATTTTTTTTACAGATAGAAATTTTAAAACATTTTTTCTATGTTCCTGGTATCTTACTTGAAATTTCCCTCTGGGGCGCCAGTTCTGGCGCACCCTATATATACTATTTTACCTTCAAACGAATCACAAAGAAACGAAAATGTGGACTCTGTTTAGTTTTTAAGGTTAAACGGCCATTTTGCTATTTTTGATTTTGACATGTCATACATGGGCGACTCGTGTTGCATCCGTTAAATATTGGGTAATAATTTTGTTATTTCCCTTTTATTATTATTATAATTATTAAATAATTCGTATAACTTTTGTTAAATGAATCGTGATTTCACCATGTGAAATGCTTCAAATTACTTTATATGGGCCTCGACTGACACGCCCTTGTGGACATTTTCAATTCCTAGGACTAGGAAGTATTTCAACTCCCAGTTGATTGCAGATGCAACTTTGCAACAAAATAAATGTTATTTTTTCTAATTACTCTACAATTTAGTGTTTTTTTGCAGTTTCCAACATTAAAAAATACAATAATTAAAAAAACAACGGTTTTGACATTTACTACAACGTGACCAGTAATTTTTTAAAGTCAAAAAACCTTATTGTTACCACCAATATAGTCAGTGCTGTACTTGATATTTTAATAATTTTAAAGGTTTTGAAAAGTTAAATTTAACCTTAAAGCTTGCTCTGCAGTAAAGTTCCAGAAAGTCCATTTTCGTCCGTAATGGTACAAGACAACTGCGATTTAATTTTTTGGTTGGTAACCCTTAGTTTTGTCGGGGTTTTATAACTTTAAATAAACGCAGAGTTGGTCATAAATGTATGTACTTTTTGCGAAATAAAGTTTGTATACAGCATGATTTGGTTCCCAGATTGGGTAAAAAAATCACTTGTATGTCACGGCCAATCGTAATTAGCTTGTCATTTGCGAATTTCCTTAGCCATAAATGTTTGGTACGGTTCCAAAACTTTTACAACCGACCTTGTACCACAGAAAAACAAAACAATGCACTAATTTGAGACAAGATTTTTAAATTTTTTATTGTCAAATGATAAAATTAATCAATTAAAAAAAGATTGTGATGACGTAGACTACGAGTTAATTGGATTCTGAGTCACAGTGAATTAAGTGCACTGGGGACATGCCCCACTGTTACCACAACAAAACTAAATTGCAATTTTTGGAGGTTACCAACAATCTCATCGAAAAATCTCCAACTTACCCGAATTGGAATTAATCAATTGTAAAATAAGGGGCCTCCTGGTGACAATCCCGGATCCTCTCGGAAGGAAGTCTCTACAAGAAACGATAACAAATGTCATTCAACTCGTTATCAAAATTATTTAAAAATCAATACACCCCCACATAACAGCAGAGACCGACGTGACGTCAACCCAACCCCCGTATTAAAAATTCACACCCCCAAAGGGGGGCTCCAGTACTCACTTTCCGACGAAATTCTCCAAAACGGAGCTTTTCCCAGCCGACTGTCCGCCCACTACGGCGATTTGGGGCAGATCCAGAGTCATGTGCACCCCCAGGTGGGTGAAAGCATCTTGCAGCTTATTCACGATGGGAATAAGCTGCTCCATTCCAGTGTTTCCTGCCATTTTTAGGCCGGAACTGTGCGAATTTCCCTCGAAAACAACAAAATTTACTTCGACACTTTAACAATATACATCGAGGAACATGGCCGAATCATAACTGAACGCGCATGACTCATGCATTTACATTGTTCGACGTGATTATACCTCGAAAATAACACTTTCAGGAGAGAAATTTGTAATAAAATTGAGATCACAGTGATAAGGCAAAGGCGAGTTTAAGAGAAAATGTCAAATTCGGGGAAATAAAATCAGATTTTTAAATTCAGTCCTGATATCAATAGAGCGGCGCATGCGCATTTTACGGGCGTTTTGCTGGTTGCATAAGTGATTTATTTGGATTCCCGGAATTGAGATTTATTCAGTTCCAAGAATTGTATACGGGGTGTTTGTGCTAATATATGAATTGTAAAGTTTTTAAAACCAACACATCCTATGTTGGTTAAAGTGCACGATAAAATAGAACCTTCATTAACCTTTGGTTGTTGTCAATAATGTACAGAGTGTTTGAAAAATGTTAGCTTTCACGCCAACATTAAAAACAAAGATTCAAAAAAAAATACTCTTACAACTTATGTTGCATTCTTCATTATTTTTGTAATAAATTTATGCAAAAGACTAAAAGATTTTGAATAAAAACATATTGAAATTTAATAATGTATTGTTGGTTGCATACGCAACTAAAGTAATAAAATGACTTCTATTTAAAATCTATTATGAAGGAATAATATACTTTAAGAGGATTAGGGGCGCTAAGTTCCCTACAATTTATTTTCAAAGAAACATAAAACTTTGTACAGAGTATTCCAAGTTTTACCGCCCCCCCAAAAACTTGAGCTTTTGCCGATGCACAGTTGGCAGCATTTTAACAATCTGAAACTTAAGAGTCTAAAATTTCAAGTTTATTTATACCTCGGCCACGAAACATGTAATCCAGTGTAAGATTTTGATTAATGTAATGGCTGTGTGATTATACAAAGCGATCCACAATGAATGTCCCTAAAAAAACAATTGGATGTTTAAAGTCCGATTTACACAACTCAATTTTTACAAATTTACACAGGGAAGTGTCCACTATGAATGGACCGCGACTTTACTCGTTTTCATATTAATGTGTATCGAAGTAATCGATGAAAGGGATCATTTTAGGCCGGCAACCATGCGAAAATTCAAACTATCCTCACCTCAATCTTCCCTAGTAATATTTTTTTTTATAAATGTGTACCTCAGGTAGCAAAACATAATTCAAATTAACAAGGGAATTAATGTAGGGTTGCAAACAAAGATTTTTGTCATTATTGATATGATTAAATTTGTTCTGCTGCTGAATGATATTAATCACACTTTTTGTGTGAATGGCCCTTTAAATTAAAGATGCATTTAGACTTCTACAACCTACTTGATGCACATTAATATGAAAAAGAGTATACAAATTATGACTACGGATTATGACAGTTATTACAAAGTCACGTGACTTACTTGAATCTTGAATCTCGATCTTTTTTATCATAATCAAGGATCGAATATTTCAATTTTGTAAACTATACATTTCCTGTTTTTTAACTAAAATTTAATTAAAGTAATAATAAATTACAAAAAATATGTACACTTGTGCATAATAAACCAAACAAAAAAAAACCCTAGTCTTTTTTTTTCTTTCCTACATCCACTTCTTTGGTCAAAACTTCCACTTCTTGTGCCATAATCTTGTAGGTTTTGTCCATCAATTCTTGCATATTTTCCACGGTGTACCCCTCCGTCGAAATAGGAGGCAAAATCTTGATCCTCAAATGCCCTGCAACCAGTAACTTAATTTAAAAATCCCCAAAAAAATACCACTAACCATCATCAAACCGGTGCTTCCCCAAAAACCTATACCGATTGACCACCACGGGTTGGATGGGGCACTTTGAGGCCAAAGCCACGTGGAAAGCCCCCTTTTTGAACCGCAGTAAAGTCTCTTTATTGTTTCTGGTCCCTTCTGGGAACATAAGTACTCGGGCTTTGCGCGTCCTTATGGTCTCTCCGGTTTTGTTAACCGCCGCTTGAGCGTGCTCCCTTTTTACCCTGTCAATGAAAATGGTACCCCAAAGCCAGGCCGCGAGGCCAAACGGCTGGAAGTACAAAATTTCCTTTTTCGAAATGACTGTACAGTTGTCCAAAGCCGGCCACAATTCGGCTAAAATTAACAAATCGAGCATTGATTGGTGGTTCATCAGAATGACACAACCGGAGTCTTTTACAATGTTTTCGTGACCTTCGAGACTAGTAGTGACACCTATTAAACGACAAGCGAGTCGTATCCCGTGAGCTGGAATCCTGCCACACTTTAAGTTCTTTTTCTGACGTTTTTTGGGTACTTACAGGCCGTTTCGAGGGTCACGTGGTCTGCGTAACATGAGGGGGATGGGGGCCGAAGCCAGAAGACAACTAGAAATGCCGAAAAATATAAATTTTAAATAATAACGAGCCACTGAACTGGTCCTGTAAAGTAGGGTAAGGAGGGCCATAAGGACACAGGTGTATAAAAGTAGACCCATCTCTGGAACAAAAACGAATATAAAGTGTCACGAGTGTTGTATTCATAAAAATTTCACTTTACGAAAAATAACAATATACAGGTGTCTCATTGAAAAATCAAAAGTGTGGATCATTTCCAGATAAACCGAAAGTGAAACAAAATGACGTTTGTTGAATCCAAACAATGTGCCAAGTTTGACACTTGTCTTCAATTCAGTTTAGAAAATAAATGATGTTTAATAAATTTAGGTACATCCTGTATATTGTTGAATAGTTGCTCAATTACAAAACTAATACTTACTTAATTCGTACATAGCGATTTGCTATTGCGGTTAATAGCAAACTATAAAAAATTCAATCACTTTCCTATCTTATCAGCTTATCAATTCTTATGTAATGAAAGTAATCTTAAACTGACAATAGAACATTTTCTAATTTTTACTGATAATTGATCAAAATTCTGTAATTCGTAGTTAAATCTTTAAGTTTTATTGTTTGTGTGTGGGTAGATATGATTCAGATTGTTTTCTCTCTCTAAATCTTTAATAATTAAGATCAAAGTCAAAAGATCATTCGTGACGAATGAATTGAGTTGAAAAAGTGTTGGACTCGCACCTTTGAGTTTCAGTCTTTTTCCCAATTTATTTCATTTGAAGCGAAGGTGTTAAAATTTTTAGTATAGGTTGAACTTCTTTTGTTTATCTTAAGTTGACAAGAATAAGAGATAAAACAGCTAGTTCATGTTTAAACACAGTTTTCAATAAATTTTTCTCAAGGTAAAATGTTTTCTAAGTGGTGTTGTTAATGGTAACAAGTGAATTTTATAGATTACAACATTAAAAAAATATGTTTATAAGTGTTTTTAAGTCGTGTAAACTTCGTTAAAGAATTTAAAATTGCTTTAATATTTTGAATTACTGTTACTTGCAATTATGACATTTTAAAATCAAATTGAAACATTTAAATATTAATTTTCCATATAGGGTGTTTCAGAACTCGCACCCCAGAGAAAAAAATCAAGTAAGATAAGATACCAGGAACATGGCAAAAATGTTTACAAAATTCTATCCGTCAAATAAGTTTGATATTTATTTTTTGACATTTGATATTTTTAATGTCTATTTAATGTTTCTATTTAATAATTTAATAATTTAATGTTTTAATGTAGCAAAAAAACTTGGAAAATTATTTTTCCAACAGAAATAAATAGAGTCAAGTGCCAAATTTAAACTCCCATAATTTCGAAATTTTTATAGACAAATTTTTTTAACATATTTTCCATGTTCGTGTTGGTATCTTACCTTGGCATTTTTCTATGGGACACGAGTTCTCAAACATGCTGTATTTTCCATATTTTTTTTCTTATACATGATACTGCAAAAACTGAATATTTAATCTTGATATTATGATAAAAATCTTTTCAACAATCCACACTGCCTTCTAGTTATCAAGTAGTGAAACAAAAACTCCAAATTCGAGCCTCCACAGTCTTGGACTCTTCATCAATCTTGAGATCTTGAAACATTAATTTTCAAGATCAACGATTCTAAAGAATTTTAAAAATTATAACAGAAACAAAATCTAAAATACAGAATTTACAGTTTTTTAACCTTGAAACAATCGAATTTTAATCTATTCTACAGTTTTAAACTCTTGTGACATAACATTTTTATAAAGAATGACCTGAAAGTTGCGATTTTAAATTTTGCCACTACTTCAAATCCCCGATTTCGAATAATCGTATTTATTTGAAAATTGGTACATAGCCATAGTCCATTAAGTCCTCTTAAATGTAAATAATGTCAAGATGGCGGCACTTCCGGTTATACCGGAAGTCGGTCTCAACTTTCTTATTTTAAATGGAAAGTTATATTTTTTACTGCGTTTTTGGATTAATCGAGTTATTTTAAGTGAGTTTTCATCACATTTCCCTATACTTAAATTTAGCCGTTTTTGTAAAATTTGAAGTTTTTCAAAAAATTTTAAATATACACCTTCCACATTAAAAATCGTAACTCTGATATTTTTTAAAATTTTAAATTTGTTTTTTGGCGTTTGAAAGAGAAAGCTTAGATCTTTCTTTTGGTGTTTTCAAATTTTGAAAAAAAATTAACAAACCCTAAAATTTTAAGGTTATTTTTGTAATAATTCAAATACCCATTTTTTTAAATAAAATACCCCAATTTTATTTTACTTAATATAAGAGAATTTAATTCTGCATCGATCTGTATTTAACAATCCCTATACATACCTAAATTTAATCATTTTTAAGTTTGCTTAGTTTTTAAATTAAGTTCTTTTTTTTTGGCGAAAACACCCTCTTTTTAAAAATGTATTACACAAAGAGTTAAAACAGCTGGAAAAAAATCTTACCACTGTAAAGAGGAAAGTTCGAACTTTAAAAGACTATAACATTTTATTGCAGTAGAAAAGTTAAAAAAATGTCGAAGTTTGTTAAAAGTTAAATAACTTTAAAAAATTAAATGGACCACCCTATTTTTTCTTTTTGCATCTAAGAGATTATTAAATGATCTTTCCAAAAAAAACATTGTGTCTACAATTAATAACTAAAAAGATATTTAACTATAAACATTAAAAAAATATCATTATTTCAATAGCCAAAAAGTGCACATTGCACTAGAGATCACTCAACAATCACTTTTATGTTATTATTTATTTTTACAATAAAACAATTCAAATTTCGATATTTATGTCGGCTTTTACAATTTCTGGACAAGTCCCAAATACCGTGCGATCAAATAAAAAATAAATTAGAGTAGGCGTCGATTGAATTCTACAGTTGGCAACACATTGGCTGGAAATCTGAGCTAGAAATTTTCCACACAAACTCAAAGTGCAAATGACCATCCACCGTTTCCCTCTTGTACAGCAATAAAAAATGTCTGCTCTAAAGTGAACATTATTTCACTCAAAAGGAATAAAACGCAAACTAGTCAAAGTTTCCGCTGACATTTGATGTCAAAAATCAGGATTGCCATCTGAAGGACTTTAATCACCGCCTACTCTAATTTATTATTTTTTTGATCGCACGGTATAAGTGATCAGTGGTGGAATTACTATGGTTGCCTCGGTATCAATAATGCTCATTTTAATGATACACATTGTTGCATTTGTTTTTTATTCGAAATTAATTACTTAATAAAAACAAAATAAAAAATTAGTGTTAAGAGAACAAAAACCTGAAAAACACAAAAAATGTGACCTGCAACTGCAGCAACCGGAAATTGAGTAAATGTATCCGGTTTTCGTGATTACCAGTTCAAAAAGTCAGTATGTTCTTGGAAGTAACAAATTTTATAATATTTGGTCAAATGGTTTCAAAGTTATTACAAAAACACGAATTTTCTATATCCCCATTCCAAGGGCAGTAAAATTCTTATCAGTAGAGGATAGGACACGTGTGAGGACATGAGTTATTAATAATAACATCATTTTATAGGTCATTTTTAAGGTTCAAATATTGCTTCATATTTATATTTATGAATTACCCTGTATTTCAGACATCAAATCAAAAAAACTCGTCATTCAATAAAAACAAGCACTTAAAAAATTCTCGCACACCAAAGTACCTAAATAGATAATTACCACAATAATTATAATTTGATTAGCTAAAAACTCAAAAGTGCTGAAATTTAAAGTTTCTGTTGGTTTTTAAAGGCGTCGAAAAATAATAATTTTATAATATTTGTATAAAATTGCATAATTAAAAAAATATACTGTGCGCCAGAACTCGCGTCCCAGAGAAAAATGTCATGTAAGGTAAGATACTAGGAACATGGAAAAAAAAATTAAAATTAAAAAAAAATCTATCTATAAAAATGTCGAAGTTATGTGCACTTTGGCTCTATTTATTTCTGTTGGAAATATAATTTTTAAAGTTTTTTTTGCTGCAGTCTACTAGAAGATGAATCAAGGAAGCTGTATCCTAAATTGTAACTCTGTTTAATGTTATTTGTGGCTTTTATTAGCAAATTTTGTGTACTTTTACAAAAAAAAACATATACATAAGAACATATAGTACAAGAACAAAAATACAAAAGGATCGCAATAATAAAAGAAGTTTTTGCAGAGCCAATCGAAACAACAAAAATAACTGCTTTACAGCTCGCCTAACTTATAATTTAGGAAATACAAACATTATACAGAGTGGTTATAAATGATTTTCATCTAGTCAGCTTTGGAATTCTTTTGCATGTAACTTTATTTGTGCCGCTCTACTTTTTTGAAAGCTCTAGTTCTGTCATTAGTGTCACTTATTAATTAATAATAAATTGTTGTTAATTAAACTTTTATTGTTTCAACTAATTTCCAATAATAATTGATAATAATGTATACTTTGGAAGAAAACAAGTTTATAATTGAAGTCTATTTTTGAAGTGGACTGACTCGTAAAGCGGCATTTATTATTTTACATGGAAAATTGACAGCTGGCTAGATGAAAATCATTTATAGCCACTTTGTAGTTAAGTGCACATAGTTTTTCTTTCTACGACACTTCGTACAAATACTTAAATGTGTTATTACTCTATGTTATTACTCAACTATATTGTTTATAATATTATGTCAACAAGATACTCAATTACCAAACTATAAAGTTAACATCACTTTCGATTCATATTAATTAAAAAATATATTTTTAAACCTAATTAAGCTATTAATAGATGTCGTAATAGCTTAAACTAAAAATAGTGTTATCGTAAATGTAAAGTTATAAGACGTGATTAAGATTTTAAACAATTTTCTGTACACATAATACATCATTGTTTAAATATTTATGAACCGAATTGTGGGCAACCTTGAACATTTTAGGATTGTACTCACTTTCTCCTCGAAGAAAACAATTATGTATTATGAAAGATTAAAATCTAGTTCTAAAATCAGATAATTTTTGTAATAATTTCTAATACTCATAGCATAAAAGGCGATTAAAATAAACCGTTTTCGTATTTTTACCAAATATTTGTAGAGCCAACCTCGGAAAATCCAACTGAAATACTCACTTTATCTTCCAAAAACTTAACACAAAAAAATTCAATTCATAACAAACTCGCGCCACCGCAAACACCTTTGCCTATCGCAAATCAAATGGCGAATTTTCATAGCGTGATGCGCGAAACATGACGACACTGCACTTGTTAGTGATAATAAAGTTTAATATGAGCAACTAATCGTCATTTTGCAATGATTCAAATTTGAAATTTCGCGGAAGAGTGGAGATGGCTGTGGTCGACATGCAGCCTTGGAGTGATTACTGATTATGTTGTTATCAAAACAAAAGAGAAATAGCCAAATTGTGGATTATTTAATGATGGCATGACTTGGGTAAAGTGACTTTAAATTTATACGATAATAAATAGCCTTGAAGTTTTTATGATTATGATAAAATATTTTTACTGCAATTTTAAACCGTCTTAATCACCCCGAAGCTCGCGATCGAATAATTCATGAGGAGAAATTGTCAATCGGGAAATTTTTAGGGTGCTTATCGTATTGTAATTAAAGTTATCTCTGTTTAGGAAGTGTCTGGAAAATTGTGATTGTGAAAAAATTGGACTTCTTAGCTGTCAAAAATGACAAAAAATAAAGGAGAAACTGAAAAACGAAGTAATTTTTTTTTCAGTCAAAATGTAAATAAAATAGTCAAGAAAAAAACTTATATTCGCAAATTCGTTTATTAGAAGAATTCAAAATAAACAGATTGAAAAATAAAGAAAAATAAGTTACAAGATTCGGGAAACAAGAAATAACGAGCGACAACGACTTTATACAGGCTGCGCCAGAACTCACGCCCCAGAGAAAAATGCCATATAAGGTAAGATACCAGGAACATGGAAAAAATGTTAAAAAAAAATTATCTCCAAAAATTTCGAAGTTATGAGAGTTTAAAGTTTGCACTTTAACTCAATTTATTTCTGTTGTAAAAATAATTTTCCAAGTTTTTTTGCTATAGGCTATTAAAAGAGGAAACAAGGAAGCTGTATCCTAAATTGTAACTCTGTTCAATGTTATTTGTGGCTTTTATTGGCAAAATTTTTGTTCTTTTACTAAATAATTGTAAAAAAACATATACAAGATCATCAGTATCATTAAAGAGACATAAAAAAATGTCAAATGTCAAAATTTTTTGACAGATACAATTTTTTAAACATTTTTTTCATGTTCCTGATATCTTATCTTACTTGAAAATTTTCTCTGGGGCGCGAGTTCTGGCGCACCCTGTATAAAAAAACTCACTTTGGGGGTTGTTCTTTGGAATTAAGATGGATACCGGTTTTTCTCGAAATCGTACAAAAACAATACAAAACAAAGATAGAAAATTAATCAAAAAACCCGAATTTACAAAAAATTACCAATACTTTTTCCAAAGTAAAAATTTACCCTTCTGTTAGCCATTTTCAATGGGTTAAGATTTTGACCTAACGAATCTCCTCAAATCTTCAAAAAAAAATCAGGATACCTCTGTTATATAAAAGTAACAATACTTTCCATATTATTTATTTAGTAAGACAATAGTACAAAATTAATAAATATAATATAAAATTAAAGCTCAATTAGTGGAAGTCTTAGTAACAGGCACTCGAATACCCATCAATTTACAAATCTCATTCCTCATTGGCTTAATCACATCGACTGGATCATCCCAGTTCGTGTTACTTAAAATCTGCATGGCCTCGTCCAAATTTTCGGTATTAAAAACAGCTGAATCTCCATATAAAAGTAGTGACTCATACAAAATGGATGCTGTCGACTTTCTGACATATGTCTGTCGATGACACAAGAAAATACTCAACTGGACTAAAGCCGACTGACAAGCCTCACTTTTCACCTAAAGAAAAATCTTAAACTTCGTCAAGTTGGCAACAGTGATTGATTACCTGAACAAACTGTGCTAAAAGATTAATCCCATCGATAATTTTATAAGCGTCTTTGCAACCCACCAATTCGGCCATGGCTAACTTGAGGATTTTTTTACAAAAATCGGAAGTCGGATCGTCTGTCAAATGTTGAACGCACCCCGAGCTGAAAAGTTTATCCAAAAAACGAAACATAGGAACCACAATTCGGTCATTTTTCCTGTTATCTTGAAAAATACTATAAACAACTTCGGCCAATCTGTCAATTTCCCCAACTCCTTTACATTTTTTCTCTCTTGAAATGTAAGTAAAAAGCGACGAACTCGAATTTTTAACTAGAGTTTCAGTCAAACCCCCCACACTGCAAATCAACCCCAACATCACATTGTATGTGAATTCGGGAAATTGCAACAATTCCACAAATTTCGGGAAAGTATCACTCGCTGAATTCCAATTCAAAGTTTCACAGTCTTCTTTATCAAATATTTGCAATAATTCTGTATGGTAAGGTATATTCGGGATAGTTGGGTCACTAAAATTTCACATTTTCAAAAATTCTCGCCAAATTCCCGGAATTACCTGTACAGGAAACTGTAAAAAATTCGACCGGCCAATGCTCGGGTCCTGTCGATGCGTTCCACAGCCTGCTGAGCCACTCCGGCTACGATTTGCGTAGTCAAAGCAACGTCGATTGACACTTGTTTGACTATAACCTTAAATGTCAAAGTTTGGAGACCCAACATGGCGGCCTCGCGCACCCAAGCACCCACATCGCCCCTCTTGTCTTGTGTGTAGTCTTTGAGACCGGATAAAAAAACGTCAAAAATTCGCAAGACGTCACATTTTGACAATACTGTCCCCAAATCGTCCGACATTGTCTCAATTAACAACGTTAAGGCCTTGATGGAATCTCGGCGACTTTCGGCCCATTTGGCCGTCAAATGATTCACTTGACTCGTCCCAATTAAAGCGTCGATAATAATCCCCAAGTTGGCCCCCAAGACGAATTTTGGGAGGGCCCCCAGGGCCAACGCGTGTCCCATTCTCACCTCCTGTTGACTCGTTTTTTGCAATTCCTCGATGTAACCGTTAACCAAACCCTCTAAATTTTTATTAGAGTAATAACGGGTCAAAACAGTTGGTAACGCTTTAATTGCATTTGTTTGAATGTTGGTAACATTGTATGCGATACATTCGTTGATCAAGTTGAGCCAATCGTCTAAAAAATCGTTGATTGGTCAAGTAAGACAGTGAGCGTGGCCATGCTTACCAGTCGTACTCCCATTGGTGAATTCGAGTGATGCCATGGCACACTTTTCTATAAAATCGCAACACGCCGTTCGCATTAATTCGCCCCCCAAGCCCCGGAAATAAAACTTCTGACGAAATTCGGGGACCAAGTTTGCAATTTTTTCAAGATGGTCGCCAAGAACCACTTCGATTTTGTCCATGTTTTGGGACAGAGCATAAATAATTTCGCCAATGGCCAATACGGACCCGTGGCGTGCATTTAAATCAATACTACTGCTTTTTTCAAATAAAGTTGGTAGCACTTTTTCTACCATATACTCGGGCGCCTTGAATCACAATACTGAAACAATTGAAATAAAAAGAAAAATCTTACTTTTGGTGTCAAATTATGCAAGGCTTTAGCTGTCAATTCTCGAATTACGCAATCCCAATGGTCAACTTTTCGACCAATCAAATGGTCGATCATAGGAATGGTGTATTCCTCAAATTGTGCTATGTAGGGACTTATAGTCAAGTAGGCGTTGTTTCGGACGGTGACAGTGAAAAAGTCAGCGACTGTCAAAATGTCAATTCCATAAGGAAAAGTCCCTTGACGTCCGACGTTCTCTTGAAAGGCAGCAGAGGCCGCGCGCCGACAATTGATCTAAAGATTGCATCAATTAGAAAAAAGCTAATCCCACTTCATTTTTGCGAACATGTTAAACAGTGCTCTTATCTAAATAAGAGCCCAATTTAACTTTTTTTTTCGCACCTCTCTGTCGAAACAAGCGACGATCAACAAATTCGCAGCAATTTGATTGACAAACGGCTTTAAAATATCCTTATCATAAGCTCTTGCGAATGACCAACACACATAACATGCTGCATCTCTAATATGTGAACCCACTGACGAGTACCCTCGTGGTTCATCATACACCAACGCCTTCATTACTACCGGTACCACTTCCGGTAACCGTTTCGGTAGTAACAGACCACGCCTTCCTAATTCAGCCAATGCCAAACAACCGCCATGCCACGCCCCGTCCCCTTCTCTCGGATTAAACAACTCCAAAACCGAACCAACCACCTCATCGGCCAATTCTTGAGGTAACCGACCGGTTACACGTCCTACACCTTTTGCAGCTGACCATCTGACAATCCCATCAGCACTCCTCAAACCGTTAATTAACTGGTCTATAACTTCCTCAACTTCGTCCGGGACTTCAATATTATCCTCAGGGAGGTTTTCTTCGGGGTCGAGTTGAGAAGAAGTGGTACCATCACCTCCACTTAAATTCGCAGCGAGTGACCTATTACCGCGCTTGTAGCGCCAAGCGGCCACCTTTGGTGGTAAAAACGTCAAACCTATCCTCTGGACAATTTTATAGACCAGTTTTTGGACACTGGTACCGGAACCTTGCTTGATTTCGTCCCGGATTATCCATTGGAGGAGAAGACGGGCGTGAGGAAGCAAATCATCGCGTTTGCCGGTTTTTAAAATCATAGCGATTGAGGCTAAAGTACCCTGTTTTGTAAAAACGTTACTCTCCGAAGAGGTGCTTTCGGTTATTGACCACTCAATATATGAAAATAAGTGTTCCTGCTTGACGTCATTTCTAAAAATTGAACACTGTGTCAAGATTCGTGAAAGTAAAAAAGCGCCATCTTTTGGTCACGCAAAGTGGGCCTTAAGAGTCACAAAAAATCGAATTTTCACCTACCTTGTGATAAAACGTGACGAAAGATAAGCAGCAGCGTCTCTACACTTATCAGGAACCACAATATATTTCTTGATAATGTCCAAAACTCTACACATTACTGTTTTCCTATTTTTATCAGTCTCATCACTTGCATCAAATCGTGATAAGTGAAATGGTATCATCACAATTATTGATAACCACAAAAGTAGGACGTATCTAGTGGTCCAAGTGGCTGAATCGTTGAGGTCTTGTGCTTCTAACAGTCTTAAAATTGCCTCAAAATCTGCAACCTTGAAAATTTGTTTAAAGCTTGTTTTTGGGGTTGGGGTATCCTTACCTCATGTGGAAGATGCCTGACTATCACTTTGTACCCCCTTACATTAACAAACACGAACATATACTTGAAAACTTCGTGTTTCAGCCCCATACTGGTGCCCCCATCTCTCACAATATTGATACACTTTTCCAACAGTTGGTCAATGTGAGGGTCTAGCAAGTGGGGTTGTTCTTTGTACTGGCCTATAATGAAGCTAAAACGTTCATAAGCCTTCTCGTTGAGGGATTTATCGGAATAGGTGGTTTTGAGGGTGTCGATCATTTTTGAGACTTCGCTTGCTTCAAGGAATAATTCGAGGGCACAGCCAAGGCCGAAGGGTTCTTCTTCCATCTCTACAATCTTATTTTTTTCAAGTGTTGACATTTTTTCGGGTAAAAATATGTTTTGTTTGGGATTGTCACTAAAATTGACAGATTGTGAGGTTAGGTTTCAAGGTAGTTTCAAGCTCACTGGATTGTTTTACTGCTTGCGGGAAAATAGGCGCAACTTGCTTAAAAAAATCACCAAATATAAAAATAAATGAAAAGCTAAAATAATACAGAAATTATTAATTGTTTACGGCGTTTGTAAAAAATGTTACTTTTAATAATAAATAACAAATTACCACATCTTGTTTGTTTTTTTGCCAGAAGAAAAAATATGATTGTGATAATTGATATAAAAAAGAGAGTACAGTTGAAGACAAAATACTTTGGTCGTCACTTTTCTGACACTTTAATGTAATTCAAGCTTTAACGTTAATATGAATGACAATTTTAAATTATTGAAAGCTATTATATTTTCCTATCAAAAACTTGTCAACTATGATTGACAGTAGCTAAAGATAAGGTTAACAACAGGTCCTAAAGCATGCTTAACAATTTATGTCACTCAAGTGACATTGACGACCAAAGTATTTTGTCTCCAACTGTAATAAGATATTAACATTTTTTTCAACACTTTACTTAAAATACGTCTATTAATTATTCATCAAGTTTATAACTTGTTTAATTAAAGGGTGATCTCTCATCTTTTTAATTTTTAATGTCACTTGTTTCATTTTATTGTTTGATGTCATAATTATAGGAATAGGTATCTAAAATTAGGTAGCTCTTAAATTAGAAATTTTTAACTAGTTATAACTTTTCTTGTTGAAATAATTAAAATCGTTAGAATTATGAATATGACACACTGAATTTTGAAGTTCTTATGGTATATTCAAGTTTAAGTTGTGTTAACACAATGGCAGACACGGAATTTTGGATGTCAGTTCAAAAAATGTCAATGCACGCTTTATTGTCATTATGATTGACGTTTAAAACTAAAATTTGAAAGTTTTAGTTGAAATTTATTTTTGGCATCAGTTATCCGAAACAATAATGCCAGCAATACGTGTTTTTATATAAGTTCAATAAATTATTTTGATTTGTTGTGATTTTTTTTCTAGCTACATATCAGGATAAAAATTATAAAAACCGAAAGTAAGGTTAGTTACCTAAGACCCATTTTTATTTCAGACGAATGACAAATCGTCCAAAATTCCGTGTCCGCCAGTGTAGGGTATTAGTAAATTTTATTTTTCACTGTGTCAGTTAACGTTAGTAATTTTTATATAATCTACAGGTGTTCCGTCTAAACCCCACTTTAGAAGTATTAGGAGTTGGAATAATTGTATTTATTTGAAAATTGGTACATAGCCATAAACCATTAAGTCCTCCTAAATGAAAATATTTTCAAGATGGCGGCACTTCCGGTTATACCGGAAGTCGGTCTCAACTTTCTTATTTTAAATGGAAAGGTATATTTTTTACTGCGTTTTTGGATTAATCGGGTTATTTTAAGGGAGTTTTCATCAGCTTTCCCTATACCTAAGTTTAGCCTTTTTTTGAAATATTTGGAGTTTTTCAAAAAAATTTGGATTTGCACCTTCCACTTTAAAAACCGGTAACTCTGCCATTTTTTAAGATTTTAAATTCGTTTTTTTGGCGTTTGAAAGAGAAAGCTTAGATCCTTTTTCTGGTGTTTTCAAATTTTGAAAAAAAAACATATCCCAAAAATTTAAGGTTACTTATGTAATAATTCAAATACTCATAACTCAATTTTTTTAAATAAAATACCCCAATCTTTATTTTACTAAATAGAAGAGAATTTAATTAAGCATTGATCTGTATTAACATTCCCTATACCTAAATTTAATAATTTTCAAGTTATGGACTTTTTTTTTAATACTACAGAAAATTTATTACTAGCCATACCCGTTTTCACATAGTTTGCTATGGAAATGAAAAATGTCAAAATTGTTTCTCAGTAATCGTCGACAGTGACTTACTATTTGCCAAATAGTGCCAAAATATGGAGAATCAAAGTTATGCAAACTTAGTTATTATTGATAGGTTCTACCATGCAATCATTATTTAAAGCTAACAAGTAAGGAAAATTTATTTTTGTTTAATAAACGACATCAGAATTTTGTTATACTCTCCATAAATGTAAAATAAATTAATTAAATCTAAGTTTGAGTAGCTTTGACTCTCCATATTTTGGAACTATTTGTCAAATAATAAGTCACTGTCGACATTTATTGAGAAACAATTTTGACATTTTTTATTTCCATAGCAAACTATACGAAAACGAATGTGGCTAATAACAGATTTTCGGCAGTCTCAACAAAAAGTCACCATATCTTAAAAATTATTAAATTTAGGTATAGGGAATGCTAACACAGTTTGATGCAGAATTAAATTTTCCTCCATTTAGTAAAATAAAAATTGGGGTATTTCATTTGAAAAAATTGAGTTATGGGTATTTGAATTATTACAAAAGTAACCTTAAAATTTTATGGTTTGTTAATTTTTTTTTCAAAATTTGAAAACACCGAAAGAAAGATCTAAACTTTCTCTTTCAAACGCCAAAAAAACGAATTCAAAATTTTAAAAAATAGCAAAGTTACCGGTTTTTAAAGTGGAAGGTGCAAATCCAAAAATTTTTAAATAACTCCAAATATTTCAAAAACGGCTAAATTTAGGTATAAGGAAAGCGGATGAAAACTCCCTTAAAATAACCAGATTAATCCAAAAACGCAGTAAAAAATATACCTTTCCATTTATAATAAGAAAGTTGAGACCGACTTCCGGTATAAGCGAAAGTGCCGCCATCTTGAAAATATTTTCATTTAGGAGGACTTAATGGTTTATGGCTATGTACCAATTTTCAAATAAATACGATTATTGCAACTCCCAATACTTCTAAAGTGGGATTTAGACGGAACAGCCTGTAGAATTATAAAATGCCAATTTGTCAATAATGTAGACCATAATATCAGAATCGTCAACAACTTATTTCACAAATACAGAGTGCGTCAGAACTCGCACGCCAGAGAAAAATTTCAAGATAAGATACCAGAAACATAAAAAAAATGTTTAAAAAAATTCTATCTGTCAAAAAAATTTTACATGAATTTTTTGACATTTGACATTTTTTGATGTCTATTTATTGGTACAAAAATTTTGCCAATAAAAGCCACAAATAACATTGAACAGAATTACATTCAGGATACAGCTTCCTTGTTTCCTCTTCTAATAGCCTGTAGCAAAAAAACTTGGAAAATAATTTCTCCAACAGAAATAAAGTCAGTGCAAAATTTAAAGGCTCATAACTTTGAAATTTTTTATACTTAGATAAAAAAAAAATTAACATTTTTTTCTATGTTCCAGGTATCTTACCTTATATAAAATTTTTCTCTTGGGCGCGAGTTCTGGCGCACCTGTATGTGTAATATAAGTTCTGCAAAACTTAAAAATGAGCTAATTAAATTAATAACGCGTCCTAGATTTGCTCTCATTTCCACAAAATATTCAAACTCCAAATTCCTGAAATTTAATAAGCGTGTTAATTATACAGGCTGATTCACGAGGAATAATGAACCTGACCAAATTCTCGATGTAACCAACATTACAGTTGTAGCAAAACAAGTTGCGAGGAGTAATGGTGGTTGCATCGAGAATTTGGTCTGGCTCATTATTCCTCGTGAATCACCTTGTATATAATTTAAAAAATAAAATAAAGAAGGCCAAAACGTTGAAGAGCTATAAGGTGAAAAGCTATTCCCTTGTGGCTTTTCTTATAAAATATTGCGGTCTAGACTTAGTGACTTTAAAAACCTAGTTCTGTTGATATTAAATGTAAAATAGCTCTTAAAACTTTGAACTTGTCACTAATGTAGTTGTCAGTTATGTTCCTGATCTTTTAACTGTTCTGAAAATTTTTTAACGTAAAATTTGAACTTTATAGTAAGTTTTCAAATAATGTTCAAAAGCATAATATCCCTTTTTTTTGTTTTCAATAGTACATTAACAAAAATGTTTATAGTGTATCAAAAATGTAGTTAAAAAAAGGAGAAATTTGTGATTGAAGAGAGTTTTATAAATTGTATTTGTAAAATGTAAATAATTATTAAAAAAGTTAAAACGCTTTATGAATTTTTAATAACGCATTAATAGTTTAGATAATAAAACCATAATAAAGTAATTATCATAAAACATTTAGTTATATCACAAACAAAACACTTTGTTTTTTGAATACAGTGTTTCATCAGTTAAGATTTAGCAAATAAATTTTTCAGACAAAAATAACGAAAAAAAAAGAAAAGTTTTAAATTAGATTTTTTGTATTTGTTTATGACAATTCCGTTAATTTTTGTTGCATGTTATTTTTTTATTTCGTTTTATTTCAAAAGAATCATTTTATACTTACTTTCAACTAAAATTGGAAAAAAAAAACATTAATTACATAAAATATAATTTACATTTTGCATTTGTAAATATATTTTTAGACACAAATAAAGCAAAGTAATCAACTATTTAATTAAAACTGTTGTTATAATTATAAAACAAAGACTGCAGAAAAGGGTCCAAGCATTTAACTTATCCAAAAAACTAAAAATAACTCTTTCTCAACTTTAAATAAATAATTTGTTTTATAAAAATACCAACAATCCACGTACAACTGATTTGAATAGTTTAAAATTCCAAAGAGCCTAATTACAAGCTTTATTTTTGCCGAATTTTAAATAATTAAGAATATGTTTTCAAAAAAAAATATTTCATGATATGAATATTTCATCATAACTTCCAAAGCGACAAAATTTAGATATAATTAAATAATTTTTTTATTTGACCATGTCGAGTTGAAACTAAATTGTTGAAAATTTTTGCAGTTTAGAATTTGGACAATTTCTTTGTAAAAAAATTACAAACTTTGCTGCAAATTGAAACACAGCGTAATATTGGTGATACTCTCCGAAATTTTAATAAAATTGCAAAAAAATAGAGTTAGAAATGAGACAAAAATGCATCAAATTTTAATCGAGTGATCCAACAGTATACAGGCTGCGCCAGAACTCGCGTCTCGGAGAAAAATACCATGTAAGGTAAGATACCAGAAACATGGAAAGAATGTTAAAAAAAAGTCTATCTATAAAAATTTCGAAGTTATATGAGAGTTTAAATTTGT